TTTGGTTTTAGAAAAGGACGCTCAACAGTCGACAGTATTTTCACATTGTATGGAATGATACAGAAATACCTATATAAATCAACCGGTGGAAGATTTTATTGTCTCTTCATTGACTTCAGTAAAGCGTTTGACTGTGTTCACCCTAACTTGCTTTGGCATCGGCTTATGAAATATGGTATCCATGGAAACGTTCTAAAAATTCTACGAGATATGTATTCGAAACTAAAAGCTTGTGTGAGAACTGATAATGGTTTAACTGAATATTTTAACTTTTTTATTGGAACACGACAAGGATGCATGATCAGCCCGACACTCTTTTGCCTGTTTATAAATGAATTGGTCAACGAACTAAATCAATCTGACTGTCGTGGAATATTCATCTCAGAAGAAGCACCAAATATTTGTTCTTTATTATAAGCCGATGATGTTGCCAACACTGCCGATACCACTGGAAGATTACAACAACAGATCAACTGTATAAGTGAATTTTGTAAAAAATGGGGACTGTCTCTAAATATGAACAAATCAAAGATAATCGTTTTTAGAAATGGTGGACGTTTAAGGAACTATGAAAATTGGACTTACAGAGAAGAAAAGATAGAGACTGTTTCATCTTATAAATATTTGGGACTATTTGTCACTGCTAAATTGCTATGGACAAAAGCAACGGCAACACTTTCACAACAAGCAGAAAAAAGTATGTCATTATATCTATAAAATAAACTATCTATGTGGAGGATTACCAATCACTACTGCAATCAAGATGTTCGAATCCATGGTTTTACCAATATTAACATATGGCTCTGAAGTTTGGGGTTTCCAATACTACGAAACTATAGAGATGGTACAGACTAAATATTACAAACGGATTCTCTACCTACCAAATAATGCAAGCAATGACGCTGTTCTTGGTGAAACTGGAAGACAACGATTATATGTGTATTATATTAGTAAATGTATTAAATATTGGACAAAATTAATCTCTATGAACACTGATCGTCTACCGAAGCAAACGTATTTAATGATGTACAAATTAGATGAAGCTGGCCGTATATCATGGGCAACATATATAAAAAACATTCTTTTCAAGTATGGATTTGGCTACGCCTGGATAATTCAAGATGTTGGAGATCCGCAAATATTCATTTCACAATTCAAACAACGTATCGTGGACTGTGGTCAACACCGTTGGACTGAAAACCTATCTCAAAAATCAAAACTTAAAACATATTTAACTTTCAAATCGGTATTAACAATAGAAATTTACCTTCAGGAAGTAAACAAGGAGATCTATAAAGAAACCCTAACAAGATTCCGATGCAGCTGCCATACACTTATGATCGAAACTGGACGTCATGCCAATACAGAAGAAAACAAAAGATTTTGCCCACAATGTCAAAAATTTGACTTCAACTACAGTGAAAATGAATATCATTTCCTCCTTATTTGTACTTCATATTCAACATTACGTTTACATTTTATTGATATATATTTTCACACTAATCCATATTATGAAAAATTTGTAAATCTTATGTCTTCTAAATGTAAATACACTATTACACAACTTGCTAAATATATCTCCCACGCTTTTAGATTACGCGAGTCACTCACAATTCACTGATATATTATTTATGTATTATATTAATTTCATGTATTTATGCATACACTTTATTGATATCATGTATGTTCTATGGGCCTATGGCCTGAAACTTGGAGGAAATAAACTCTAGAGAACGTCGAGGTTCAGCTAGACATGGATCCCTACTTTGGACAAAAGTTTGTTCTCCCTCTAATGAGTGTGTCACGCGTTGCACACGGGTATCACACACGTGGCGGGCGGGTTCGAGTGACCAACGGGGTGCACACGGGTTGTGTAACACGTTTCCCATGCGTGTAAGGGGAATGAACTTCAAGGCAGTAGTGTAGCTATACATAGTGATACATGCACACCCTGGAAGTCAGTTTACAACGCAGTTATATATAGTAATACATGCACACCAAGAATGTCAGTATACAACGTAGCTATAAATAGTGACATACATGTATGCACACCTAAGATGTCAGTATACAACGTAGCTATATATAGTGATACATGCACACCGAAGATGTTAGTATAGAACGTAGCTATATATAGTGACACAGGTACACCCGGGATGTTAGTATACAGCGTAGCTATCTATGGTGACACATGCACATCCAGGTTGTTAGTATACAACGTATCTATACATAGTGACACATGTACACACAGGATGTCAGTATTCAACGTAGCTATACATAGTGACACATGTACACCTAGGATGTCAGTATACAACGTAGCTATATAAAGTGACACATGTACACACAGGATGTCAGTATGCAACGTAGCTATATATAGTGACACATGCACACCCAAGATGTCAGTTTTCAACGTAGCTATATATAGTGACACATGTACACCTAGGATTATATATTGTGGTACATGTTCACTCAGAATGATAGTATATAATGTAGCTATATGTAGTGAAAGCTGTACACCCTGGGTGTCAGTAAACAACGTAGCTATATATAGTGGTACATGAACACCCAGGATGTCAGTTTGCAAAGTAGCTATATATAGGGACACATGTACACCCAGGATGTCAGTATACAACGTAGCTATATATAGTGACACATGTACACCCTGGATGTCAGTATACAATGTAGCTATATAAAGTTACACATGTACACCCAGGATGTCAGTATACAACGTAGCTATATATAGTGACACATGTACACCCAGGATGTCAGTATACAGCGGAGCTATATATAGTGACACATATACACCCAGGATGTCAGTATACAACGTACCTATATATAGTGACACACGTACACACAGGATGTCAGTATGCAACGTAGCTATACATAGTGACACATGTACACCTATGATGTCAGTAAGAACGTAGCTGTATGTAGTGGTATATGTATACACAGGATGTCAGTATACAACAGCGTTATACATAGTGACACATGTACACGCAGGATGTCAGTATACAACTTAGCTGTATATAGTGGTACAAATATACAGGGAAATTCAGTATACAGCGTAGCTATATGTAGTGGTAGATGTACATATGTATACACAGGATGTCAGTATACAACAGAGTTATACATAGTGACACATGTAGACCCAGGATGTCAGTATACAACTTAGCTGTATATAGTGGTACAAATATACAGGGAAATTCAGTATACAGCGTAGCTATATGTAGTGGTAGATGTACATATGTATACACAGGATGTCAGTATACAACAGAGTTATACATAGTGACACATGTACACGCAGGATGTCAGTATACAACTTAGCTGTATATAGTGGTACAAATATACGGGGAAATTCAGTATACAGCGTAGCTATATGTAGTGGTAGATGTACATATGTATACACAGGATGTCAGTATACAACAGAGTTATACATAGTGACACATGTACACGCAAGATGTCAGTATACAACGTAGCTATATAAAGTGACACATGTACACAGAGGATGTCAGTATACGACGTAGCTATATATAGTGACACGTGCACGCCAAGTATGTCAGTATATGAAATAGGTTTACCTGGTGACACATGCACAACCAGGATGTTAGTATATAATGTAGCTATATATAGTGACGCATGTACACCCAGGATGTTATTTTACAACGTAGCTATATATAGTGACGCATGTACACACAAGATGTTATTTTACAACGTTCCTATATATTGCGATACATGCACTCCCAGGATGGGAGTACACAACGTATCTATATTTAGTGACACATGCACACCCAAGATGTCAATTTTCAACGTAGCTATATATAGTGAGACATGTACACCTTGGATTATATATAGTGGTACATGTACACCCAGAATGATAGTATATAATGTAGCTATATCTAGTGAAAGGTGTACACCCTGGGTGTCAGTATACAACGTAGCTATATATAGTGGTACATGACCACCAAGGATGTCAGTTTGCAAAGTAGCTATATAAAGTGACACATGTACACCCAGGATGTCAGTTTGCAAAGTAGCTATATAATGTGGCACATGTACACCCTGGATGTCAGTATACAACGTAGCTATATATAGTGGCACATGTATACCCTGGATGCCAGTATGCATCGTGGCTTTTTAAAGTGCTACATGTGCACAGCCCGGTTGTCAACACATAACATTATGTTTCAGACAATGTGTGTAATCAGTCAGCGTGTCAATGGACAATGAACAGATTTGTCACTTAATTTGTAAAATGACTAAAATATTTAGACATTTTAGAAATTGCCTAAATGAATCAGATTTAACACATTGAGTGCAACATGTATATTGGTACGTATTCACATTGGGTGTTAGTGTAGATCATAGCAGGATGCGCATGCGCCTGAATAGCATGTCGCTGAAAAGAATGCTCCGTCACAATCGCGTTAATTATGAGATGATGTTGTGCAAAAATAATGTAATTTGACCTTGAAGCAACCCGGAATGGGTATTTGTGAGTGAATCATGAACATTATTGAGCGTTTTGCTTAAAATCAAGTGTCCAAAATGTAAACAAATGTGAAGGCGAATTTACACAAGTATTGTCACTGCTGACTGACCCAGCGTCCAGGCAATCAACAAACAATGGGCAGCCCGTGCAGGGTCATAGAAGCACTGACCAGTTCTCACAGCAAGGAAGACGATATCCAAAGTGTGGAGGATACACGCATTGACATTTTCAAAGCAATACACAGACGGCTTGGACAACGTGATGGAATTTATTTTGAAAATGAACTGTTTGAAACATACATTGATGATAAAGAAAACGGAACGAAGGGAGGAAGAGTAGACATGAATAGTCGACGTGATCCCCAAAATGGACGTCCACCAAAACGTGTTCACAGAGAGCATTCCAAGAAGTCGGTGATTGAGAAATGTGCGTCTGGTGTATATTGCCTATATGACTTTTTTACAAACACAACCCCCTCCCACTCACTGGAAAAAAAACAAGCACGCAGCAATTGCAAGCCCGAACCCCGCCCGACCCACATGGAGACAGTTCAATGGACAAACAACGAGGTAAAGATTTTTTTACCCTTATCTATACCACGTCCAATTTTCATTCTTTAAACATCCGTTGTCCAGAAACTCTAAGCATTGTGGCCGGTTTTACACAGTTGATCGTGTTGTTTCCACGGAGACATCCTAAGGTGTGAAAAGCGCAGCAATATGTTGTCGAAAAACCACGTGGTGACCAATTTTCCTTTGCACAAGTCTGATATTTTTGGCAGTCAAGACAAGACTGTCTAATATAATTCAATGTTTAGCGTCATGTAAACATTTGTCCCAGGAACCAGCGCGTGTTCCTTCACTCAAAAATCATTTCTTTGTTTTGAAGAAACACAACCGTGTAAATACAAATATCACCAAACGTAAGTTATGCTTTTATTAAATATAATTTAATAGACACTGTGATTTCACAAAAAATCCATGTTGTAAAACAACCGTGTGATAAAACCTGCGCCCTTGTCAACACTTACTTACTTACTTATATTGGAGATTTTACGTGCGCTTTCCGACTGCAGCGTATTTCGCACACGGGCCCGGCCAAGCCATTTAATGTGTTTCCGAAAAAGGGGAAAAAGTTGTTTGGCAATCCAGTAAGGGTGTTTTAGTGGTTGCTGATATAGAGTTTTGGAAATTTTGAGATTTGGAAAAAATGCCAAGAGGGTTTGGGGGGCGAACTAAGGGACCTGAGTATGGAAGTTTGTTAGTTTTGTTAGATTATGTGGTTTGGTTTTGGTAGTTTATTGGGGTTTTAAATGCGATTTATTAGTCCTGTTTTGATTAAGTATACGCCTAAGGCTTTGAATTTTTCTATTTTATTTTGTGGGTATAGTATTGCTTCTAGAGTAAGAGCCTTATTTAGATTTAGGGTGGTTTGTAGTGTAGTTCGGTAGTGGGTGCAGTGTATGAGTGCGTGTTCTGGGGTTTCTTGTTGTTTGCAATGTGGGCAGGTTCCTGTTGCGTGTTTTCTTATTATTTTGAGGTTGTTATTTAGGTTGGTATGTCCTGTTTGGAGTTTAGTAATTACTCTGTCGATTTTTTTGGACGGATGTAGAATTTTTGGTTTGGCTAGGGGTATTTTTAGAACCTTTTTGATTTGGCTATTTGAGTTTTGATATAGATTATGCCATTTTTTGGTGATTTTTTGTTTGTTGACACTTTTAATTTCTGATTTGGAGATGGGTAGGTTTAAGCTTATTTCTAGGATTTTAAGGGATAGTTTAGCTGCTTTATCAGCGTTTTCATTGCCGTATATTCCTACGTGGGCGGGGATCCAAATGAATACTATTTGTTTGCCTGCCTTAGTTAAATCGTTTGAGCTTTTTAGTATTTGATTTATTAGTTCAGGGCGGTTTTTGGTGTTTTTATTTTGGAGGGCTTGTAGTCCACTGAGCGAGTCGGTAAGTATTAGGATTTTTTGGTTTTTTTTAGATTGTTGATTATGAAGGGCTGAGGCCATGCCCATTAGTTCGGCCGTGAATATTGATTGATTGTTTGGGAGTCGGTAGGATTGTGTGGCTTTAGTCGGTTGTGTGATGTGGACTCCGAAACCTGTGTGTTTGGAGATCGGATCTGAGGATCCGTCTGTGTAAATGTGACACCCAATTTGGCCAATTTTCATGTATGTATGCTAGTGTGGTGGTTTTTGCTATGTTTGGGTCGGTTTGTTTATTTATTGTGCTAGCTAGTGTTTTCTCTATTTTTGGTGTTTTAAGTTTTGGGGTGAAGATATTTGATTTTTTACAGTTTTGTTTAAGATTGTTTATTTGGTGTTCATTTAAGTAATTGGTTATTCTTTGGGATATTGGAGTAAGTAGAGGGTGTTTTCGAGCTAGGGCTTGGTTTTTGGGGCTGATATTTTTGTTTATTAGGTTTTGAATTAGGGGGTTGGATTGAGACGCGGCCCAGAAATTTAGAGTTCATTGTTCCCTACGTAGATTTAGTGGCATTTCTCCTGTTCAGGCCTGGAGTGAAGTGTAGGAGGTACCATGTTGAGTGCGTGTTATTAGTTTTAGAGCCTGATATTGGATTGAGTCTTGTTTTTTGCTTAGAGATTGGTTTAGGGTGTCGTATATTGCACATCCGTAGTCTATTTTAAATCTAATTAGTGATATATAGAGTGAGAGGAGGGTGTCTTTGGAGGCCCCCCAGTTTGAGCCAGTAAGGCATCTTAGCGTATTTAGATCTTTGCTACATTTAGTTATTAGATTATTTATGTGAGCGTCCCAGGAGAGATGTTCATCGAAAATTAGTCCTAAGAATTTGGTTTGTTTTAGGAATTGGATTGGTTTGTTGTTTAGCTGGAGTTTTGGGGAGGCGGGTTTCATGTTTTTGTGTTTAAATACTATTCCTGTAGTTTTTTCCGAGTTAAGGGAGAAGCCCCATTTGTCAGCCCATTGCTGTATTTTGTTTAGAGATTTTTGAAGTAGGTTTTGGGCCATTTTAATGCTTTTTGTGCGGATCCAGAGGGCTCCATCATCCGCGAATTTAGATGTGTTTATTTTAGGGGATAGGCCCTCGAATAGATCATTTATCATTATATTGAAGAGTGTGGGGCTGAGGATACTGCCCTGGGGAGTGCCATTTTCTAGGGGACATTGGTCCGATAGCGTTTGGTCCATACCCACGGTTATTTTACGATTGTTTAGGAAGTCCTGGATGTAGTTTATTATTTGACCTTTGAGTCCTATTTTTTGTAGTTTTTGTAATAGCCCGTCGTGCCATACCATGTCGAAAGCTTTGGAGAAGTCTAAGAAGATGCCTGTAGTATATTGTTTGCTGAGTTGTCCTGTTTTAATGTCCTGCTCTAAACGGGCGAGGTTATCTAAGGTTGAGCGGCCAGGAGTGAAACCACTTTGATCTGGGTTTATGATGTTATTTTGAGTTAGGTAATGTTGTAGTCTGTATTTAGCCATAGATTCCATTACTTTACATAAGTTTGAAGTTAAGGAAATTTGTCTATAGGAGTTAGCCTGATTAGCTGGTTTATTAGGTTTAGGGATTGGTATGACTAAGGCCTGTTTCCAGGGAGTAGGTACTTGTCCGTTTTGATAGATGAGATTGTATAGTTTAAGTAGTGCCTGGAGTAGTTTAGGGGGGAGTTTTTTAATTATTTGGTAGGAAGTTAGGTCCAATCCTGGGGCTGTGCCCTTTTTCCTGTTTTGGATGACGTAGAGTAGCTCCTCCATTGTGTAAGGGTGGTTTATTTCTAGGTTGTCATTATTTGGTTCTTTGGTGTATTTGTTTTCTGTTTTAAGTTTATCTTGAAATATTTGGCTAAAGTTGTTGTTGCTGCCAACGGCCGAAAAGTGGTTGGCGAGGTTATTTGCCTTTTCAGCGGGGTTTGTTGAATTATTAATGTTCGGTGTTTTTTTATGACGTTTTAAGCCTCTTATGGCGTGGATTTTGCGCCAGACCGTTCTGGCGTCTGTACGGTTATTTATTTCTTCACAGAATTTTTTCCAGTTTCTGGTTTTAGATATTTTGACTAGACTTTGAACTTGGTGGTTTAGTTCGTGAGCTATTTTTAGATGTTTAGGGTCGCGTTTGGCTTTATTGAAGGCCGATTTGCGTTTACGTCTAGTTTGTTCTCTTTCCTCGTTCCACCATGGTACTGCAGGTTTCCCTGTTTTAGTTGTTTTAAAAGGGATGGAGGTTTTGGCTGCTTTTATTATGTAATCTGTTAGGTTTTTACAGTAGATTTCTGGATCATTATTTTCTAATTCGTTTAAATTAGAAAATAATGATCTTGTCAACACCTACCGTTCGATATTTATGATCAGTCAGACGGGTGATTGGTAAAACAATGAGGGTAGGGGTGGGGTACTTGTGTTAGGAGGGTCACCTCACCTGTTAGTGACAGCTTGGTGTGTCACTTGTAACAGGACAGGCTTTGGGCACATTTAGACACCTAATATTTTCATGACTTTGCGTTGTGATTTTTTTATCAAGGAGATATTGATGCCGAAAATACTAAAGAATGTGTCTACGGTCCCTCCGCCTATCCTTTACGACCTCAGTTCGTTGGATGTAGGGAGGTGATTCACGACAAAATATAATCAAGTTTCAACAGTTTATTACAGAAAATAAAAAACACACAACAAAATATAAAACAACAATTACAAATTAGTCAATACTATTCCTTACTAAAATTTACATTATTAAGCCAAAAATCCTACTTACTTATACCTTAAGAATAAAACCCAGAAGCAGCCTAAAGCAGACGAACAAACCCCTAACTAAGCCACTTTAATAAATAATCACTACAGCATCCTTAACACAGTCTACGAGGACAAAAAAAACACCCTTCCAAACCTCCCAACACAATCGGTCAATGTAGCTACATCACATTGCTTACATTATTTCCAAATTAAATCCACCCGTCCAACCAACCTTTATAACCATAAAACACTAAATCGGCATGCAACCGACAAACGCACGTGCCCGCACGTGGGGCAAGATCTGAAACGTGCTGTCCCAAAGCGAACTACATATCGGTAAGGAGCTATTAACCACGTAAATGATATCATATATCCAAATAATCAGAGGAAATTTTAATGTTTCTACACCAGAATAAGGGTAGGGAGTTCGGACATTACCGCAACAATCAGATGCACTTTACAACATGCGCATGCGCCGCAATGTAACATGTCTGCAGTTTCTAAATACGATGTCTATATTGAATGTTTACTGATAAAAGAAGCTGTCATATTACGATTTCGCGACAGAAACCCTGTAAATTCATTTACAAGTAATTGCTGCAGTTTGTCAACATTCATTGTTACTGACTAGTATATCACATAGATGTTTCTTTGACGATATTCATCTTTACTCACGTGCTTCCAAAAGCTTTACATTCTCAAGTTCGACTACTTCAAACGTGTAAACCTAATTAAATTGCATCAAACGTTATCTTGAAATGAAATGGCATAGTTTTCGTATTTACAGCTGTTACTTCCGTGTGTTTACCGATTAGCATACACCGCTTACACAATAACATAGCGAAACAGATG